GCTTGGGGCGGCAAAAAGCCTAGAGCCGGCCCTGCCTCCAGCAACTGTCTGTCTCTCTGGAAAGGAGCCAGCCTTGGGCCTTTCTGTCATGCTGGCAGTTAACAAACCCGGCCGCGATTTCCTGTTACCTGAACGGAGCCGATCAGTTCTCGTTGCCCCGGAAAGGGGATGAAAAGACGATGCGAGTTTCCTCTCCCCCATTACTATGCAAAGCCGAGAAGGAAGCTGCGCTGCTCTGTCTGCTATCCGGGGCACTGATTAACTGATTGGAATAATTGGTGTCTGCCCAGGGCTTTTCAGCACTTGTCTGATCCTCGGGTTTGATCATTTGCTGCCACAGTGGGTGGAATTAACATGTGCAGTCCCTGAATAGCTGTGCAAAGTAGGGTAGCAGAGAGCTCGCTTCCCTCTGTGGCACCACAAAGAGCGGGGGTCTGTGCTTTCTTTGGCCACTGCCGGGATGTATGCACCGCAGCAATGTAACAGCATCCAAGAGTGGCTAAATACAATTGTCCATTAGTGCAATGAAGCCTGAGTTACAGCCTTCAGCTTTCAGATTAGATGGAAAACCGGAGTCCTGACTCTTTCTGCTCTTCGTGACCCGAGGGCACGTGGTACAAGAATCAGCAGGTGTCGCTGCAATATCCAGGCCAAATTCCAAGTTGGACAACTGTATTGTGCCCAGCTTCATCCTAGTGAGGTTCTTATACCATGTCCCTCTCGGTGGTATCTGGGCGCTTAGGGTTTCAGTCAGATAGGTTATTCTTTCCAACTACCTGCCCTAGACAGTTACTGCGTCGCACCCCAGAGGTGGCTGCATTTCAGGGCCAGATAAAGAGATTCTGCAATTAAAGGGCCCAACTCTGAAAGATGCTGGGTGAACTCAGCTCCCACTGAACTCAGCTTAGCTCAAGGCCGGTTCCACACAACGTCCTTAAAGCCATTCCGCAGAGCCCCCTCTGGCGCTAATGCTGGCATGTTCATTTCTGCACTATGTTTCCTTTACCCCCGCCCTCCTTGAGGCCCAGCTAACAAAAGGCAAGAGATCAAGCATACAAGGACAAATCTGCCAAGGCCAATCAAAAACTGAATGGAGGAGGCTGCTGGGTTTGCCTTCCTCTCTCATCCGCTGACAGCGTGCTCTTTGTCTTCAGGTCCTTAGTCACAGGACCAAACTCAAACTCCTCTGAAATCAGTAGAGATCAATTTGACCCCTGGGGCAGAGATTCAGAGGTTACAGGGATACCTTCTTCCCGTGGTAGCTCCTTCAAGAAGGGAAGTGATTTGTGTCTTATACGTCTACACTGGTGTAATTTCCAACTAAACCTGGAGCTGGCATGGGTCTATCGACACCAGCTGGAAATTATGCCTTCCAGCTCCTGTGTAGGCATAGCCATACTCTAAATCATGTTCGAGATGCTCAGGTGTTACAGCCCTGGGCCCCCTGCAAAATGCCTGTAATAAATGCTAATAAAGTTAACGGCCATTGGCTGGCCTTCCTGGGAGCCGCGGCACAGCTGGGAGAATCAGTTGCCCCAGGTTGTTACAGAGCATGTGGCGGGCTTCCTGAGTGCTGGCCCAAAGTCTTATGAGAAAGGTCACTTTCTGGTCACCCTGGGTCTCTAGGTGCAGGGGCTGCGGTACGACGTCAGGGCGGGAGGCCTGCTCCCCACTCTCCGCCACTCTGCCCTCAGGAGTGAGGCGGGAAGGATGCAGGGAATCCAGGCGGATGGGCAAGCCAGCTCCCTTTCAAACATAAGGTTACCTGAGCCGCAAAGAGGTGACATAAGGCTCTGGGAGTCAGGAGCTCAGGGTTTATCCTGGCTCTGGCTTCCTGGGACAGACCTGGGCAGGTTGTTTCTCTCTGTGTGCCTCAGTTCCCCCTCTGTAGAATGAAGCTAATAATAGTTCCTCCCACCTCGCAACCAGAGTTGCAAGGGTTGCCGTAATTCATGCTGGGGTAGAAAGGGAAGGACACAGCAGCCTCGGGAAATGACTGAATTAGGTATGCAGCAGGTAACTACCTGTATGAGCCTTTGATCAGGGCAGCAGCATTAATGCAAACTGTTCTTGCAAAGAGCACCCTGGGAACTTTCCCTGAGCACGACTGGTCAGGACCTTGGTCTTATCTCTTATCTCTTATCAATGAACCACTCTGTATGCATCCGAAGAAGTGGGCTGTAGTCCACGAAAGCTTATGCTCTAATAAATGTGTTAGTCTCTAAGGTGCCACAAGTACTCCTGTTCTTTTTGCGGATACAGACTAACACGGCTGCTACTCTGAAATGAATCACAAAACGACTGCTAGGAAGGCAAGTCCAGCCACTGGGTTTTGTTGGGTTTTTTTTACTCGCCTTTTGTGGTTGAAGTTGCTGATCTGGATCATTGAAACCATCTTCCTCAAATCAGCTCTTCCTGCAGCTTGCAGCTTTCACAGCTGCTGCAGACAGGCGCGCTTGGTGGCGTTGTACCGGCCAGTGCTCCCTGATGTTGTCTGATGCCAGCAGGTGGCACTGCCGTCAGCCGGAAAGGGAGCTGCCCCGGCACAGCACCAGGTGCAGCTCCGCTCCCTGCTCATGAGAACAGGCTCCCGGCAGCGGAGCGGACAGCTAAGGGAGGCGATTCAGATGCTGGAGTTTTCCAGGTGGGGGCTTGGGAGCAGAAAAGGGTTGGGTGGCAGCGAACCACTTGAGCATCATCTAAGCCATAAGTGAACTTTTTCAGTGCGGTGTGGAGCAGGGGAAGGGTTCCGTAGCTCTGGTTTCTAAATCTGGCTCACAGGGACCTGTGCAAGGGCTTGATTAGTTTCAGCTCTCTTTGACTGTTGCTCCATAGCCAGGGCATGGCTTTTCCCTACCATCAGGTGTGGAGTTGCGGAATTCTGTTTTGGTCTGAACCAATATTTACATCAGAGATCAAACACCTCTCTCTCTCCACTCAGGATTTCTGACCCCCAGGTTGAAGGTAATAAGACCAGATCCCAGGGAGATTTTGGCCTGTTTCCAGCCATCTCTGATGCTAAAACACTTCCCTACCTCCCACTGAATCTCTCCTACTAAAGACCGGGGTCTGCTTTTCTTACATTTTATGCAAAGGTTTTGGGGCTTCTACATAATTCAACAGGGTGACTGGTTGGGAACTAAAGGATCTGCTTTGCCAGCCATGAACAATGACCATTACTGGCTGGGGCAAGTTAAAAGCTACTTAATACCATGAAATGCTGATTTTTAAAGTATCGTTCCATCCCTTCTATAACATAACATGCCCCTTATTCTTCTGGGGCAACTAAGCCAAGCTTGGAAGTGAGAAAGGAATCAGTGGTCAAGGTTAGTTCTTGTGCATTATCTTGTGTCCCATGCTCTACCTAAGTTAGTTTTCCAAGGAGGGTTTTCTGTGCCTACCTAAATAATAGCACTTTTAATAAAAAGACAGGGGAATAGATGACCCTCCCAGCTTGCTCTAATAAAGGCCTCTTTCCCCTGGTTGAAATCTGATTATGCATGGTAATTTTTTTTTCAGACTATAACCAGCGTCAGCTGTGAAGATGTTCTGAGGCTCAAAGAACTTCAGACTCATTTTAAACATATGGTTCACTATTCAATTACAGCCGCAAAAAGGATGAATGGCAAAGAGGAGGCAAACAAACAAGGAATGTGAATTTCAATGCAGTCAGGCACACAAAGATAGCACACAGTAAGCATCCTGATTTCTGAATACTAAATAAAATAGCAACAGATCCTCGCCTAGTTGAATTCATTCCTAACAGCTCTGCATAGATTTTAAATGACGCTTTCAATCTGAATAGCATTTCAATAGATATAAACCAGCCGGCTTTTTACATCAAAAAGTAAATTCCTTGTCAGCATAACAAAGTCCTGCTGACTTTGAGCCTCCTATATTTTGTGCATAATGCATGCGTGGTGTTGTGAATGGAGCTAATTGCACTGGAATGTGTTGGTATCCTAAAATATTCTATCTTCCGAGCAATGACGAGAATTATAACACCCAGGATGTCCCGCCTTAAGCACAGGCCTTTCAGAACCAAGCAGAGGGCCACTGAACATTGCAGGGGTTGGAGTGGGTTGAATTTTGGATAGAAGACTATTAGATTCTTTTCTGCTTGCAGACCAATCCCAATCAAGTCAGTTGCATTCATCGAATTCTGCCTCAGCACCTAGATCCCTTAAACTCCCTTCTGGCCTGACAATTCTATGAGTCTATGACTAGTTTGCAGGTGACCCTTTTGAGATCTGGTCTCCACAAACTCTGCTATTCGGTATTCATGGTGTGCAGCTGCTCATCTGCAGGTACGTCTACACAGCCACCGGAAGGTGTCATTTACAGCTCGGGCAGATGGACATGTGCCAGCTCTGCGCGAGGTTCCACGCTAAACGCTGCAGCGTGGCCCCAGTGGCATGGGCAGCTGCCCTGGCTAGCCACGTGAACACCACCTCATCTGCCACCCTGGGTACGTGCTTGGGTGGCTAGCCCGAGCCACTGCCCCGGCTGCAGGGCCCACGTTGTTATTTAGGTGCTCGAGCGGAACTACTGCGGGTACATCGACCTGTACTGCGAATCGCCTGCCAACTGCAGGGTAGATGCAACCTAAGTTACACGGGGCTGTGCCTGGATTGAGGACGTCAATGGGAGTTAAACACATGCTTAAATGTTTGACTGGGCTGGGGCCTAGGGACTGGAATGCTTTAGCTAGGAAAGTACGCAGCAGCAGAGGTGCCGTATGACGTTGCCGGTGACCAATCACTCATGCTACAATCAGATTCACAAATATCTTTCCCATATGTGGAGGCTGAGAAGAAATTTCCCCCCCAGGGCAGATGGCAGAGACCTTGGGGAGTTTCACCTTCCTCTGCAGTGTGTGGGTTTGGGTCTCTTGCTGGGATTATCTGGGCGTCTCTCACTTCATCGGTTCTCCTGAGGGCTGTAATCCTTCGGTCTAATTCTGGTTGTTGGGTTTGGTGTGCAGGTGCTGTTGATGGTCTGTGCCATACAGGAGGTCAGACTGCATGACGTGGGGTCCCTTCTAGCCTTAAACTCTATGATCCATTGTCGTTGCTGGAATACTAGTGAATAATCATCCCTACCAGCAATTGAAGTGACGTGACCTCAGGTCTTGGGTTCACCATTCTGACTAAAGGCCAATTCCATTGTTCCTAGGATTTGAAGTCGTATCATTCACTACGGCCAGCCCACACTAACACAGTATGGTATACACCCGTTCCTGAAACGGGCACCGTGTCCCTAAACTCACAGTGAAGCGGAACAGGACTTTTTACCATTAGACACAATAAGCCAGATCCTCCGCAGCGGGTGTAAATCTATTGTGATCAACGAGGCCATGCTGATGTATGC